AAGTATCGCAAGCGGTAGGTGCATATTCTTAAAGATTATCAGGTGAACTGATCCAAATTCTAAAGACGAAACTACGGGTAACGCGTTTATGAATTCGGCAAAGCAACGTTCTAAGTAGTATCAAAAACTTCATGGATAGTTTAGTCTCTAATATAAACGCAGCACTGAGATGTACTTTTCGAGGCACGTTTTCAATCATCTGACGAATTGTCGCAGAATTGCTTCTCCTTCCATTCTCTATACCGTCATTTCCACTTCCGTCTTCCTCTTTGTCGTATCTGTCGGAGAGTGATTCGCGCAAATCTATCGGTAGAAAAATACGAAAGTTCCGCGAGATGGTCGGTAAAGTTTGCTTACGGATGCAATGCGCAGAGACGGGATTTTGTTTGGAACTTTGTAAATGAAACCTTGCAGCCGAATTGAATGTAGAAATGATCATAAAAATATTTGACTATGCAGAGAATTGCACGAGATAATATTATACATAAAATTAGTATATATATATAGATTACTTAAAATCATCTTTTGAGATTGTATCATTTTAACTTCTTTAAAAAAAGAGGCGATAAAAGAGTATCATGTTGATAAAATCTTTATCATAATTTCTTACTACGCCGAAATTATATTTTTATTTTTATGCGGTATTTATTCGAGAACTTCGAATCCTATCACAATTATATTTTTTCAACTATTATGACTTTTCCAATCCTCTCCATATTTCTGTGGTAACAATTTGATAATAGAAAAATAATCTTAAAAATTTCCGTAACTTTATTCTTACTGAACATGAGTATTATTGACGCAAAAAAAAAAACAAAAAATAACTACGCAAGTTGTTTTGAAAACTTTTCCGTCTAATAAAAAAAGAACATCATAAAACAAATATACAGCAGTTTCAATTTTGCAAATTGAAAAGCATTTCGTTAATATAAGAAGTAAAATATGTTAGTTGGTTTAAGTTGAATTTCTTCGTTTAATTTTGCATACAAACGTTTATGTACATATTTAATATTTGCTTTACTCCTTGTATTCGTATTAGTAGTGAAATTACTTACACTTTGGCAGAATATACTAGTCTTGCACTACGCCTATGCTCTGTATTATACTTCGACTAGCCGCAGACTCTCGCCGGCCGCTCTGATAATTTACATCCGGTCAAACTTTACGTTGCAGCAGAAAGTGCATCCCGACCCCGCCCTGGCGTAATATCGTCGCCCCGTAATCGAGACACCGGCTAACTTCGGCGTAGCGCAAAACGTGTTTAATATTTTAAGACTGCTAATATATGGCTATTGTCGCGCATGGTATCCCGATAACTTCGAATATCATGAACAAAGAATATTAAAAGCTAATTTAATAAAGTATTGATTTTATTTCTTTTTGCTAATGTAACTTTACATAATTTTTCTAATGAGCTATTTTTATATGCGTAATATTATAAAATAAATGTGCATAAAATGTGGAGTGAGTTATCACCAATTATTTAGATATTAGTATTTGATTAAAAAGTATTTGATAAGTCTTTGATTAAAAAGTATTTGATAAGTACGAACAAAGTTAAAATGTGGAACAAAAGATTACGAGTATAAGAATTAACAAGAACATTTTGTTACAACCGCTTGAAAGCTATGTACTCGCAGTCTCATCAGCGCAAGTTCTCAGACAAAGTTTAAGAATCACTAGGAAACATCTTGGAAGTTCAGTGCTCCGTCATCTTGTTCCAACTACAGAAAATTACATTTCGTTTTGCTCATCCATCATTCGTGAATTCGGCAAAATGACTTATGCAAGGTATCACTATCTGCGTTGGAATTTGCAAGTTCTTAATAACGCAATTAACTAATTGGAAAAAAATACGCATTTCTGCAAATTTTATCTTGTCTTTTACGATCTCTAATACTGCATACAATTGAGCCCCAAAATTAAATAGCATAATTATTGTGTTAATTATTGCCGATACTAACTTTCTAAGTCTCAAAAATAAATCTTAGAAATATATATATGTATATATATATAAAATATTTTACTCTCTTCCCTTTAAAAATTTCAATTTATTATAATTTGTAATAAAATAATTATAATTTGTAATAAGCTTATTATAAATTATAATAATTTTTTAATTTGTTACAGAGAAAATTTATTATAATTATAATAATTTATCATAATAAAGCACGTCATACTGTTGTAAATTTTAAACGTGTGTTAATATATCAGTTGATACGAAGAACGAGAGATTTTGCATTGAAAATGCAAATAAGCTTTTATTAAAATCCCGTCAATGACCGAAGTATATAATTTATCATTAAGTAGTAATTTCAGCATGTAGGATTGATATTGCACTGATGATTAAAATACAGCAAAGAATATGTGATCGTTAATTACGTATTCGTTACATGAACTTGTTTTACGGAGTTTCCGATCCTACATATATATATTCAGGCATAATTTGATAATTACGTTTAATCAATGAGTCTTTTATTTAACGAAAGAATAAAGAACGATAATAAATGTTATTTTTATTTGATACTTTAAAATTAAGTCATAAATTCGTGAAGTGTCAAATTGAAAGAAACGGAAAGAACTTTAAATTTATGTTTTCTTAAAAAGCTGTTATTCTATTCAAATGCGATATTAAAACTTTGTCAACTATTTTCGCTTGCCAGTTGCTAACTGATAACCACATGAAGCGCTAGAAGGAAACTAGAGTATCGAATTTGGTCACAAAGCTTGGAGAACGATAGTATAACTACTAGAGCAGAAGCTCAATAAACCTTCAAAGTCTTAGATCCTATTATTCGCAATAAATTGATAGAATATTGATAACGTTTTGTGTATATTATTAAATAATCGATAAAAAATTATATCAAGCACATATATTTTAACGACCATAATCAAATTTCTCATATCATATATTATTATGTTTTTACTTGTTTTATCTTTGCTTATCTTTTTCTAAAAACTTAGAAAAAAGACAGCACATTTTATATTATAAATTTATATTATAAATTTACTTTCGCTATTCGAAAGAAACGAGAGAGGCCAGTTAAGTTTATTTCGAATAAAATTTAATATTATTTTCATGAAATGTAAAACTGCCAATTAAATTTCTCGTTTAATATTTATAACTTGCGAGCTCAATCTGTCTGCCTGTTAAATGCCGGTTGATTTTGTTGTTGCATAAGTGAAATAATTTCACGAGAAATACAACACGTGAGTATTCTCACGTGCAACAAGATCCCGCGACTTGTTCGAGGAACGGCGCGCGGCGCGCGTCTAATCTTCCGACTGTAACTGAACTTCGTGGACTCGGTACATATCCGGTCTACGTGCTAGGCTCTCGCGCATTGTGCCGAACGGAATGCTGCAAGCATGGCACAATTGAGACCTCCCAGTCTTGGGATCCTCGAACTGCATCGTGATCACGAGACATGGTCTTATTGCGTACCCCGAGGAAATCGATTCGGCATTCTTCAGTCGTTTAAGAGTGCAGTGGCACGTACCATTAGTCGGACTTACGTATTTTTTCTTCTAATGTTTTCTTTCTTTTTCATTGCTTCTCATGCATTATCCTTTTATTTATTTCATATTTGTATGATTATGTAATAATACCAGAATGAGAAAACGAGAAAATAAAAGATATTACACAATGAATTTTAATATTAACAAATTACAACAGACAAAAAATGCGGGATTTTTATGATTTATTGTGCAGTATTACATTTTTTGTTTTCCACTCATGGTCACGTTGTCACGTAGTTATACAAATATAAAATAATCGGAGAATAGCGCAAGAAAAAACGGAAAAGAAAGGAAAATCCAGAAAAAAAAATAGTAAAGTTTGTAATTGTAATTGTGTATGTGCGTATTTTATCATAATTATATACATATTTAGATAATAAATTGATAATAAATTGTACTCACCAACTAGGGTGTTGTAGATTCCGCCTCTCTCTTAGATTCCACCAACTTTATCTGCAAATTCCATTTTAGTTGTAAACTCCACCTTAGACTCTATCTTCCTCTGCAGTTTCATTGAAAAATCGACAAATATCGAAAACTCGTCCTTAAATACACGCATTACTGAACAAAAGTCAACTGTGAACTACAATTTCGAAAATCATGAATTATATCACCAATGTACTATGATACGAAACATGAAATGTAAACACGAAATAAAACGCACTTTGTGATACACTTATGAATTAAAAATAAAGCATTAAATAAAAATTGCTTGGATGGTTATAACAGAATATAACAGAATTGCAGCTAAAAAGGATAATGCACAGATACTAATTTAACCACTTTGTGAGATTCTTTTCACAACAAATTGATTTAAAACTTTAGAATTTTACAATGCTTTACAATAAAAAAAAAAAAATTGTTAAGTCATGTGTAAAAGCGAGTTTATCATGGCAATTGCTGTATAAATAATTCTATTAAAAACTATCTTTGCAAGTTACATCCAAAATCGTATTTTAATAAATTGTTCTTTTGCAAAAAAAAATAAACAATTAAATTTACTGAAATGGTTGAATAAAAAATATGTTTGTGCATATTAAAAATATATCAAACATAATATTCTCAAAATTTATATAATCAAAATTTTAGTTTCTAAATTTAATTTTTTTATAATTTGTAATTCACAAAACATTCTACATATAATTATTTTGTACATAATTTATATTTTCAATATTTTGTAATTTTACGATTTGAGAATAAATTGTATTTATGATTTGTGCAAGACATGATATTCTTGCTATTAAAATAAAAAAAATAACCTAACATTTTATTCATTTGTAAAAATCCCAAAAATATCTGCAAACAAGAAAGCAATTGTCAAATGCAGCCCTTTACAATTACAACATATAGTAAATATTAATTATTAAAAAGATAGCACCATACACAATTACATCACATACATGTTATATTTTGAGTAATTATTATCACGCTAAATCTCTCGTTTCTTTAAAATAGCAAGTATAATGTATAAATTCACTCACCAGTCGTTGTATCCTAGCTTTTTCAACTATACCTAAAAAATTAATAACATCTTGATTATTATAAATTATCATACATTTTATACATGTTAATTATTACATATTATTTAATTACTGTGTTTAAATTAATCATATACAATAAATTGCATAAATAATAAAAAAGTCATTAAATATTCAATAAATGTTTTAATAAATATTTTCAAATATATTTACATATATTTTAATAAATAATCATAATAATATATTATACATTTATACTATAAAAGTTATATATTTATATATATATCAGTAAATAATTTTACTCACTAGCTAGAATATTGTAGTTTGCTCCTTGCTGCAAATTTTGCCTTAGAGAATTGTACCGCATCAGTTCCGTCGAAGAATCGACAAATTCGGGAAACTAATATATTGTAGTTTGCTCCACCCGCTACAAATTCTGCCTTTGAGCTACTTCGCATCAGCTTCATCAAAGAATCGATGAATTCGGGAAATCCGCACTTGTTGGTTATGTGAAATGAAAGTCAATTCGCGCACTTCAATTCCGAAAAACTGCGAAAATCACGGACAAATCACGTTGCAAATTTATCACGCCGCGATACACATAACTCAATCGCGAAATAAAACGCACTTTATCTCGTAACGCGTTCGCGCACATAAGTGTAGTAATTATTATCACCTTATACGTTCGACAATGACTCAGCATTATATACCGGCAAACAAAATGGTTTCCCATATGAAGTTGCTCCAATTTTTAACTCAAAGTTTAAAATTGATGCACCTTCATATAAGGTGGCAATCCTGGTTGCCTGTATACATGCAGCCAATGAAATCAGGACGGAGTTACACGCGAATTTTTCACGTAATACACAAAAGACAAATGCGAAACAAAATAAACTTTATGCCGTCTGCAAAATAGATAATTGTAGTATTATTATCATCTTACACATTCGACACTGTAAACATTCGGAGAGAGCGAGACGATAACCTTGGCGATCGCACGCAGATCATCAGGTATGAACAGACACTCTACAACATCATGTTATCAGATTTAACTAAAGTTTGACATGCTACATCTAATAAAGTGTATACTTAGTTATCTACGGATTTGTAGCGTGTATGTATTGAGGCTATACTAACTTGACTGTGTTAACCATAACTACGAGACAGTCATTGACGTTAATCGCAAACACCCCCGGTAACAAGAATATATTCTGACAATCGCCCGTCACTTTAATCGACACTCCAGACAAAAGTTTGCACTTGTTATAAACTTTTAACGATTAAAATACGCGATTAATCACGGAGCTTTCGCGCTCTCTACATTTCGATCGTACTATACAAATTGTAATGACAACCGACGCGGTGTCAGTACTACCAAATTTCTAAATAAAATTTCTAAATAAAATGTATCGCGCTCTCTGCCGGCCAATTTACGCAATTATAATATCGACCAAAAAGGCAGTATCTAATTTCGATTACTCTATTACCATATTATCGATCAAAATATTCGACCGTTGATCGATAAACTCGACGCTACGCGCGTTACGCGCCTTTTTGCCGCCATAATAGTTTCTATCACGCACTAGTGAGGGAAAAGCGGGAAGGTTCTGTAATTAATCGCGTATTTTAACCGTTATAATGCATAACCAGTGCGAATTTTTGTCGGGAGTGTCGATTAAAGTAATGAGCAATTGTCAGAATATATTCTTATTGTCGCGGATGTTCGTGATTAACGTCGATGACTGCATTGTACGTTACGGCTGGCAGTCAAGTGAGTATAGCCTCAATACATACACACTATAAAGCTGTAATTTATAAAGATGTACACTTTTTATTAGATGTAACATGTCAAATTTCAATTAAATCTAATAAAATGATGTTGTAGGGTGTCTGTTTATATCTAACGATCTCCGTGTGACTGCCAAGGTTATCATTGCTCTCGCTCTCTCCTCGGATGTTTACAGTGCCGAATCGACTACCTAATGTGTAAGGTGATAATAATCGCTACAATTATCCATGCAGACGCATTGCGGCATAAAGTTTATTTTATTTCGCGTTTGTCTTTCATACGGTGTGAAAAATTCGTTACATGACTCCGTCCTGATTTTATCGGCTACACTTATACAGGCAACCAGGATTGCCATCTTATGTGAAGATGCATCAATTTTAAACTTTGAGTTATTAAAAATTGGAGCAACTTCATATGGGAAACCATTTTGTTTGCCGGTGTATAATGCCGAGTCATTGTCGAACGTATAAGATGGGAATTTTTGTCAGGAGTGTCGATTAAAATAATGAGCAATTGTCAAAATATATTCTTATTCCTATTCTTTGCCGCGAATGTTCGCGATTAACGTTGATGACTGCATTGTACGTTACGGCCGGCAGTCAAGTGAGTATAGCCTCAATACATACATATTACAAAGCTGTGATTAATAAAGATGTACACTTTTTATTAGATGTAGCATATCAAAATTTAGTTAAATCTGATAAATCTAATAATTATTACAATTGTGTGCGTTACGAGATAAAGTGCATTTTATTTCGCTGAGTTGAGTTATGCATATCGCGGCGTGATAAATTCGCGATGTGATTTTGTCTGTGATATTCGCATTTTTGTCGGGAAGTGAAGTGCGCGGATTGACTTTCATTCAACAGTGCATGTCATGAAAGTACGGATTTCCTGAATTCGACGATTCTTTGATGGAGCTGATGCGGAACAATTCAAGAAAGGAATCTGCAGCGGATAGAGTAAACAACAATATCCTAGCTAGTGAGTACAATTACAATATTTGAACATTTTGTTGAATATTTAAATACGTTTGTAATATTATATACAAAAAAAATTACAATCATACATTTATTAAATATCTATTGAGACATGTTTAAAGATATTAAAATATTTATTATACATTTATTACAATTAAGTATTTAATTAAGTAATTTTTTATATAATTTACTGCGTACAGTTACTCAAAACATAAGTAACAGAATAATGTAATAACCAATAATCATAAAATTTATGAGATTATTTATAATATATATAAATGTTAATTGTTTTAGGTATAGTCGAGGAACATACTTAGCTAGGGTACAACGACCGGTGAGTGAATTTATTAATTAAACTTGTGTGATTCCACAAAATGTTGATGTTAGATACTGTTATAGATACTGTTTTTATTGGCCAATATTTACACTGTAATTGCTGAAAATCGCACTTTAACAATTATATCTTTCTTTTTCTACAATTAGCACTTTTACAAATAAAGAATAAAATATAACATTTTTTTCTACATATTTTGAGTAAAAAAATAGAAAATTCTATATGTATTACAAGTTATATATGCAATTTATTTTTTAAATTGTATAAAATAATCAAATTTTTAAAAATATAAATTATGTAAGTATATATGTAAAAGAAAAATTTTTTATAAATACAAAATATGTCATATAAAATTTAGTTTGGAAATTTTGCAGATATTAAATGTAAATTTTTTAATTGTGAAAAATGTTTTATATACTAATATACATTTAAAATATATGTTTTTAATCTTTTTAAGTTCAATTTTTATAAAAAAGAAATTGTTAAAGTGCTGTTAGGCGCAGTTTATTGGCGCGATGAAATATTTGTTGTTACTGATGCAATTGCTTATATATGTATATAACAACTGATATAAGTAATTTTTGAGGCGCATGTTCCATTGTTTTCTTTTGCTAGGGATCATAAAATTTTTAAGTTTGTTTTAAATATGATACGTGCTTCTCATATTCTCCAACTAAAAGATTAGAATAATTTATTATACTTATCTTTTATAATATATATATATAGAAGCAGAGTTAAATTACGGAAGTGTATTTGGCATTTTTCAAGCGTAATATAAAAATAAATTTAATTTTCTCGCTTTTTAGACGCTTTCAAGACAGAAACGCGTTGTCACGCTGTAATTTCTCTCCATTATTTTACTCGACACGCTTGAAATACACGCTTAATATGCTTTCAAGCTTATGTTGCGTACCTGCTTTCGGCGTGATTACAGTCTTAATCGAAATGCTCAAAGACTGTGCCATTTATCGAGTTTAATGGAGCCATCTATAACAGTTGTGCTCACAATAAGATTAATATAAACCGTGGGATAGACATTCTCAAGACACATTTACATGTTTTATGATGTCTGTGCGGTATAAAATGGAATTCATCAAAATACGAACGAATGTTTTAAAAATTTTTCAACGCTTGTCGTTTATCACTATGAGTTGTGTGGAGGAGTAGCAAAGTGATTAACTCAAAAGAAAATGAGAATAATGTGAAAAGAGAAGCCTTTGCAACAGTTGAACGATGATTAATACGTCAGCTTTATCAATGTGTAACTTGTGCGAACTCGTTACAAATTAATTAAGCCACGCAAGTGCCAGAAGAATGTGATTTATTGCGCCCGGTTATTACAATGTGCAATTATAGCTGCATAGACGAAATTCCGGGTTCGCTATTATAACCAAGAGATTTTAAAGATCATAGGTTAAACTAATTTTCGGTATCAAGTACTTCTATCAATTTGCATACAATTTGCAATCAAAATATCAAATGATTTCTTACATGAAATGTGTCGGAAAATTATAGGAGAAATTTTAGTTATTATAATCAACTGCATTAATAAGATTTTAAATATATTAAATTTCTTATCGTCTAAAACAAATCAAACATCTCAAACAGTTAAAATGTTGTACAATGATTTATTACATAATCCATTAATTTTTTACATTTAATAAATTGATAATTAGCAATCAGATTAAATCGTTGAGACAAAAAATTCGATTAGAAATTATTTCAACAACATGCTTTTCCTATTTTTCAGTATATTTTATGCAAAATAATGTGAATGAATTAAGACTTTAATTAATGACGGATAAATTCTTTATCGACTATCAGTTCCAATCACCGTTTCTTATTTTAAGTTCATCAAGAGATTAGTACGCTCTGTAGCATTTTGCGATGTAGTAAAGTCCAATCTCTTTGAGCTCATTTTGCTAGTTTCCGTTTTTTTTCTATTTAATCGAATTTCTAACGTCAGACGTCGAAGTACTTCACAGTAATGCGCTTTCATCGTACCAGCTGCTGGAAGGAATCCGGCGTGGGCAGTGCACTCGTGATCAAAAGAAACTCCTAACATCACTTTGCCTTTGTTCGCGTACATTGAAAATTTCGTTTACGCCAATCTTTACGCTGATGTACGGGAATTCGAATCGGAATTGGATTAATTAATTTTTGTCATTAAATCGGGAAAGGATCAAACGGGACAATGAGTTTGAAGTATTTTTACTTATGCGCAATTCTCGCATTTATTTTATCCGTATAGAAAGCCTAAAAAATAATTTTTATACGTCTTTCATAATAGTATAATAGAATAATGATTTAATAACTGAATTAATAACTGCTGTAAAAGTTAATTTTTTTTGTGGCGATTAGTTTTAATTATTATTAAATATAGCAAAGTAAATTTTATATATGGAGATGCATAATTTTTTTATTTAACGAAATAAATGACAATATTTTTCTAAATTATATTATGAAATTATACACGCGCCTTTTATTTTACTATTTTTGTTAAATGTTTTAAGCAAGACATGAGCTTAGCTGTCAGTAATGCGTATTTATTTTATCTATATAAAGCAAAAAATAAATTTTACACTATGTCTTTCGTATAAAAACGATTTTAATTTTGAAACTGACACGTTTTATTTATTTTGTGGAATTTAATTAAAAAATACGTACATTTTTTATTTATATGATGAAATGCATAGATAGATGATATGATTCAATGATTTAATTCAATATTTGTAATGAGATCGACGTGAGCATCATTCATCGTCATGAACGAAGGGCACGTAATGAGTTTGATCCAAGTGACGAACAGCGAACGTGTTAAAGACAAATGATGCAGTCAATCACATTTTACAGCCAATTAAATTGCGAATGTCTGCCTGAATTCCAGAAAGCGATAGCAAAGAACAAGCACTATCAAGAGAATGGAGATTAAGCGTTACAGGATCACTCGACATTACTGGTAGCTAAACTCATTTCTTGCTTAGAACTTAGAACATTTGGCAAGAGAAGTAACAACATTATGATATAATTTAGAAACACATTATTGTCATTTATTAGATAAAAAATAATTTTATTGCTTTATGCGTCTCCACATATAAAACTTATTTTGTCATATCTAACAATAATCTAAAAATAACAATCAATCGCCACGAAAAAGGAACTTTTACCGCAGTTATGAATTCATTATTCTCTATTTAAATAAAATTAATTATTATTAATTCCAATTATTGTAAAAGACTGGGTAGTTTTTTCTAAACTACCGACAACCGATTTTCGCTTTTATTTGTAATGGGAAGACAATTGCTGAAACGTCGCCCTTTCAGAAATGCTGACGTGGTGCGAAAACAGTACTGAAAACGCTAAAAGAAACTCGCTTACGCCACTATTCTCCAAGACTTTACAATCGTTGGGCAGAGTGCATTACTGTGTGAGGTTATTATGACGAAAGAAATGACCAAAGGCACAAACGCTAGTCTTCTCTTGTAATAAACGTAGCGCGAATTATGTTCTTTCTAGATATGTTAGTGGTTAAGACACAGACATTAGCTTTTATAAGCGATAAAACTCAAGAATTAAATTAACCGCAATTAGTTGAATGATTTATTGCACGGGCTTTAAATATTCAGAAAGCAAAATAGAAAAGGCGAACAACTGATGGAAAGTATGAAAAAAATATTAGCCACCAAGAATGAATTTAATATTTTTCGCTTGTCATGCAAAATAATTCATCTTTTCGCGAAAAACGATATGCGTACGTATTACATAGCAAAAATTGTGCCAAAAGACAGGAAACAAATTTTATTTATGCTCATACGAGGAAGATAAGTCACGTAGGTGATCTCGGAGTATATTGCGGTCTAGATTTCTCTCTTTTCTCACAACAGAGGTCGACTCATACATCGCGGACTGAGGTCGATAGTGTGAGGTGATGGCTCAGAAAGGCCTCAATAGAAGAGATTTAAAGAGATCTAATCTTCTCATAAAATAGCGCTAAGGCTATTTTATGCGAATTATATATATGGGCGACTTTAAAACTTGTATATCCTGATACTAAAATCTTGTAGCAATTTTTATTTGAAAAAGAATTGCTTATATATATTAGTATACGTAATACCTGGATATAATATAAAGCCGCAAAAAGAAAAAAGACATAAACGTAAATTTAGTTTCTGCAAAAATTTTATCTTAATTAATTATATCTTCATGCAGGTATAATATTGTTGCTTTTTTCCACATATTAAGTCTCTTTCTTTCTTTATGTATTAATCTACGTTTCCACGGCACATTATTTGCATACAACATATTTGCACATCTTAATTAATTTCATCAACGATTTTTAACTTAAATAAAAATACTGATTCTGCAGGACTCACATCCTGATAATAATTCTCTTGAAATTAGTCGCGCGTTAATAAGACCTCCTGATTCCTTCTCAGCGGTATAATAGACAGCTCGGGCTGTCGATGAGGGAAATATAATTGACTGTCGACTGCGTTAGTAAGAGGAAAATTTCCAATAAATGCGTCTGATTCTCGGAGACATAGCCGCTTCACCCGGAAGCTCTTGCACCGTTAAGATTTATTATTTGATTCTGTGTTGTCGGAAGAAGACGACGTAGGATGGTGGCCACGAGCTATACTTGTGACCATCAGATGAGATCATATTTTAAAGGTACGCACAGAGGATACAACGTATCCGCTTACTCAGCCATCACCGGTAGACGTCAAGTCAAGAGATGAGAAACTCTATCTCTTACATCTTTTAGAACGTGGCGCGTAATTTCACTCTCAGCTTCTTACAAGATGTCAATTATAATTATTGTAATATGAGTTACATGTCTCAAGTCTTAATTATGTTTTTGATAAATCGTGTGTACGGTGTCAAATATCACGCTCACGACGTTAAAATTTATTTCTAGACATGTAATAGGAAATGAACATACGGATAATCATAATTAGTATAATTTTATTAAAAATTTTTATTTCATATAGCGCACATTA